TTTAGGAGGATTGCCACGTGTTAAAAAAATAAATTTCCACTTAATTCATCAGTTACATGAANGGTTGCCGCCTGTTTTGAAAGTGGTATTTCGTTTAATTATACATAAGTTACATGCAATTTTAAAATATGGTTATCAAAAGAACGAGTGTTAAGATATCTTTAAGCTGAACATTTGTTTTTTTTTGTTGAAAAAATTAAGCTGAAATTATTTAATAAGTTAAATGGATTGTCAAAAGATGGGTATCAATCGAAATGGGTTTGAAAATAATTTATTTCTAAACTGTATTTCGGAGAGTTGCCATGTGCTTAAAAAATTTAATTCAACTCAACGGCCTCAACAAACGGCCTCAAGCTCATAAAAATTGTTGAATATAATCGTTATAAGGCCATAAAAATAACAAAAACAAATAACTTAAGGACGAGCACACCTAAAAAGTTTAACATTCTAATAATAGTAATATTAACAAAAACCAACAAAACCAACAACCACATGATCAAGTGAATTGCAGCGGAATAGCAGCGCTTGATTGTAGTTGGCTTAGCAAAGTGAAATAGTGGAAAATAAGCAACAAGAATTAACAAGACAAACTTGGCACAGTGCGTAGGCAACTGGCTGAGTCATTGGTGATCGTCGGTTCGAATCCTACTGAAAGAAGTCTGATGAGGAAATGTGGTGATTTCCGAAATAGCTATCACTTCTACCATTTTTTCAAATTATTGTTGCTTTTCCACAATAAGTTTTCACTTAAAAAACGGCCTCAAGCTCACAAAAATTGTTGAATATAATTCAACTTAATTCTTCAGTTAATTCTTCATATAACAATGCCAGGCGAAAGATTTTAGTTTGAAAATACTTTTAAAGGGGTTGCCACCTGTTTGAGAAGTCAAATTTGTTTTACTTATACGAAAGATACATACATGAAATATCGAAATATTAGTGTCAAACGAAAGAGTTTTAAGAAAAAAAAAGAGTTTTAAGAATTTTTTTTTTAATAAATTCAACAACTAATTTTTCCCCAGCTGTGGCAATAGCAGTGTTGGCACTAATCGATTGATTTTTTAATCAGTTAGTTAATTCGGTTAAATTCAATCCGATTACAGTACACNTCAAACGAAAGAGTTTTAAGAAAAAAAAAGAGTTTTAAGAATTTTTTTTTAATAAATTCAACAACTGTGGCAATAGCAGTGTTGGCACTAATCGATTGATTTTTTAATCAGTTAGTTAATTCGGTTAAATTCAATCCGATTACAGTAAGTCATGATTCATTTTAATCTGATTAAACGGTTAATCATAACCGCGATTAAAAAAATTAATTTTTAATCATTAACCCTTAATTCGATTAAGTAGGTTTGATGATTAATTAATTTATGCTGGAATTTTACTGTGAACACAAGCCCAGTTAACCGGGTATGGCAAGTCGGTTTTCCTCATAAATCTAAGCAATTTGGTGTGCATTTTCATTCAGATCTATTTTAACAGACGCTAAGTGAACTAGGTTTTAATCCACTCCGCCACAGACTGACACGTAGTTTAACCCCCAAATCCCCCCGCTGGATCCGCCCCTGGCGATGGGTTATAAAAATTCCCAGTTTATGTACTACTAATAATAATAATAATAGTAATTTTTTTTATATATTATGCGTTTTTTATAAGCGTGAAACACAAAAAAATAACTATAATCCGTGTTGGGTTTCTGAATGTGAACTAGACCACTTAATCAGATTTTTTTAATTGGATTAACGATTAATGGTAACAATTAACACTGGTCGACGGCCAAAATTTACCAGAGACGCCGTTATGAAATTCGTATGTAAAATCACCCCCTGATTCCGAAAATCAAGGTTATTTTTAATTTTATGGTACCGTTTTTGAGATATTTGCAATTTACCGTTTTTGCAAAAAAAAAAAATGGGTCCACTTTATCATATATATCTCAAGAACGAATTCAGCAATTCCAAAACGGTTTGAAGCTTTTAAAAGGTAATAAAATTTTCTATAAGCTGTGCATACAACACTTTTTGCTAGGCCCTGTAG